AGAGAGAGAGAGAGAGAGAGAGAGAGAGAGAGAGAGAGAGAGAGAGAGAGAGAGAGAGAGAGAGAGAGAGAGAGATTCATGAGCAATCCACTGACCTTCAGCTTGCAGGTTTCTCGTGACCCACCAGGAAACAAAAGCACGCACTCGCCTTCCTATGGAAGATTCAACCACCGAGTAGTACAAGCAAAGACAGGAGTTACCTGATGAAATACTAGTCCCACATGGTGCCGCAATCACCCTTACAAAGATCCAATTGAAGGATATAGAGTAGCACCTCAGATGCAAAAATGAAGAGGTGATGCATATCTTGGTACAGTTAATACTCCATGGTGTTAGTTTTAGCAAAAGTGAATGTGACATTATGTTTATTGCTCACAGAATGCCAGGTTCTGTCCATCAGCTTCGACGCTCTCATCACCAATGCTCATTCCTCTAGCCCCTTCCTGGCACCCCCTCCCTCCCCTTCCTCCTTCCTCTTTCCCCCTCTACCTTCCCTGCCTTCCCTATGTACTAGTAGCTGAAATCCCCCCAACCCCTAAGTTCACAGAACATACCTTCAGTAGATTGTATGCTGAACGCGGTGTCGCCTTGACATTACCATACCTGCACAGAGTTGCAATCACAAGTTTTCTCATTCCCACAGCCAAAAAATCATTGCGTGGCACCGCCTCCCATGGCTCCTGCAGTGCTGGACCAAGAAAGCATACCTATACATGCAGAATGGACCATGGGGAGGTCAGGAGAGAAGGGAAGAACACAGGAGGCAGGCAAGGAGGAGGTTTTGAGGAGTGGACTATCCTTCTCGAAAAGAGAAGACTTGAAGACTTAGTGTTGTATAACTTTCCTGGCTGCATTCAGTACAACTGACGTCTTCATGTACATACACGTGTAGATGAAAGAACTTCTATCTGTTCAGTACTTAAAAAATTTCTGGCTGCCGGTTAGTGAGAATGAGAAGTCTGAGATATTGAGATATGTTTGGTGTGAATTTGACCTTAGTTCAAACCATCCCAGCAGTCTCTGCCATTGATTCTGCCACACACATTCCCTTCCGTTCCGTCCTACTCTCATTCTGTCGCTTATTTAATCACGTGGTGTCACTCATGTTGTTACGATTCCTATTCCTTTCCGTCACTTATCTTGCAGTGACCTGTCGATTCTCACCACGAGGTCTCTTGTGCATGGCACAAATGCGACTTTTGTAACTCCACAGCACCAGATTGCATAACAAGTTGAGAGATACTCTGTATTAATTTTTTTAATGTTGGAAAAAAGAGAGTCCCTAACGTTATTGTATCTGTCAGGATCTGAGCTGATGATCTGTTTATCAATGGCTACGTGTGTGCACCACTCAACCACAAGGCTTGGGTTCAATTACACCACCAGTACCTCCGAAAATTGCTCCTCGTTACCGGGCATGGCTTTTGGGATGAACGGGCCTGGACCGGTAGCCCCGATTCAGCCAAGTGGAAACGGCGCAATTTCCACTTTTGGCTGGCCGTTAAAGCGGAGCGATTTTCGGAGGTACTGGTGGTTTAAGTAACTGTAACTGTGAATCCAAAAATCCAAAGGCCTAGCAAAGAGTCAACTCCATACCTTCCTTTTTCGGTCACATCCACTCCGGGATCCAAGGGAGTTGTGAAATATACTGAAGGCACAGACGTCGATCGCACAAAAGAGCACTGGCACGAGTTGCAGAGCCCCCTTGCTTGCCACCTTACCAGCACTCAAATTCTGAAAGTCGGTTATATATCGTCAAATAGAACTGCCCGGTAAACCGTAGGCAGAGAGGGAGAAGAGGACAACAAACGAGGGGCTGTGACAAACTGTTTCGTCGGAGTTTCACCGACTCATATATATATATCGTCAAACAGAACTGCCCGGTAAACAGCAGGCAGAGAGGGAGAGAGAGGGAGAAGAGGACAACAAACAAACGAGGAGGGGGCTGTGACAAACTGTTTCGTCGGAGTTTCACCGACTTGCTC